CTCATATTTATGATGGTTGCAGTGTCCTGGGGTCATGTGATAATCTTTTCTGACTTTCTGACAAGCAAAATCAATGGGGCAGCCAGATTCACTTAACAACCATGTTACTAATAACTGCAGTGATTCACTTAACAACTGTGGCAATACAAGCCATAAAATGGGACAAATTCACTTAAGAGCTATCTCATTTAGCAACAGAAATTTTGGGCTCAATCTTGGTCGTACGTTGAGGAGTACCTGTATGTCTAATGAACACTATAGCCAACATTATCAAACATGCAAATTTTAAAAGTACATGAACAACCTTGGATCACTCTGATTATGAGTCACAAAATACCAGCCTCTGTTCAAAGTTTAGTTGTATATGAATTTATCACCAAATATTTGATAGTCACAGTCCTTCTAATGCAGGGTATCTTTACAATCTAGCCCAAAACAAACATAGATGGGCATTTTACAGAGCCCACTTTGTTGCCATCCCATCCACTGGTGGGGAGATTTTGTTGGGATTCTTTATTTAGAAACACTTTGCCCTTATGAAATCCAGCAAAGTAGCTCATGTCTTCATTTGGTGTCCTTTTTACAACAACATCCACTCTCCAAAAGAATTTACCCAAAATCTTTAAGGTGTTCATGATCTCATCTTGGAGATTGACTGCAATAGCATACAAAATCCTTTTACTATACTGGTCTTAAGAGCTCGTCTAAGAAAGCCAAAACATCTTAACATGATTATCTCATGGAATTCTAGTAATTTTGAAATTATGTTTATTTAATTTTAAGGTCTTGCAGATGCGACACAGGAATGTTGCACATGCCCTACTGCCAATCTACACAATTAGGTTGTTAGAACTAAGTCAGAAAACATAATCCTTATGAAGAATATATGTCTATGGATGGTTATATAAAAAAATGAAAACATATGGATTAACTTTTTAACTGGATTACAATAGAAACTGATATAATAATTTTCAGAACTACTAAGTAACTAAATTAATTGAGATTCTGTATGCAATGTTTTTGGGAAAACAGTTCTATGCCATATAAATAAAGGCTGAAAATTACTATAATGCTGATATGGCTCTAATAATTAATGCTTTGACAATATTAATTACTGTGTGTTATGACCTCCAAAAATATATTTCCAACATTCATCTCCAACACAATTGATTTTCACAAGATGGGATATCAATGTTTATATCCATTATGTCAGTACTAAATGGGAATTCTAATATCCCAATTCCAAAATTCCAATATTATGCTTTCAAATTCCGCTTCTCAACACTGCTTCATGGAACATTAATTCTCACAAACACATTAGACATTAACAGTTTATTACAGCATCGTGTCATTAGCCAATAAGCAAAATTGATCACTAGAACCATATTTTTTCCAGGAGATTGACATGGGTTAAATACTTCAGGAAATCTGATTGAAATCTTATTTTAAAATGCCTCTTTTTAAATGGCTAAATATCTGATGATTCACAATTTTAAAACATGTATTTATTAATTTGAACTCATAATCTCAAATTCTAAAGTAATGGTACAATAATTTATTATACAATCTAACAATATATCCATATTTATTCAGATGTCTAATTCAATTTAACAAGCCTTATTTTCAGGCAGCTATGTATAATGGATCCGAGTCTCCAAATATTTGGAGCAACTCCCAATAACCCTTGCTTTTAAACATGTGAGCCAGAATAGAGAGAAATTGGAGCTTGACAACATCTGAAGAGGAATATGTTATTAATCCCTAATGCAAAATATTATATAAATGTTATTAACTCATAACTTGATCACTCATTTAGTCTATTTCAGTGGTGGCAAACCTATTTGTGCCAGAGGCAGCACTCAGAGCCCTCTCTGTGGGCACATGTGCCGTCACCCCAGCTCCGCCTCCCCTGCAGACCCCTCCTCACCAGCAGCCCTCCCGAAGGAGAGTAGCCCATGCAAAACAGCACAGCCAAGGACATGGCAGCCGGGCAGCGGGGACAAGACTCCGCCCTCACACCCCATCATGCGCAAATGATGCTGCGGGACGCGGGCAGAGGGCGTAGCCGCCATGGCACTGCTGGGCCACCTGAGTGATCTGCGGCGGGTTGTGGAGACGGTGAGTGGTCCTGTGGGCAGGGCAGGGGGCGGAGCAGAGCGGGCGGGCTGGGGGGGCAGGCGGGGGCAGGTTTTGGACACTCAGTCATCACTGGTCTATTGCAATAGACTTGGGCCTACCTTAGGAGATAACCTGGAAGCTGCAACTGATACAAAATGTGACAGATTATTGCTGCACTAATCCCTGTAGGGTAAAATAACACCTATATTGAAGTTGTTTCATTAGTGCTTGTACATTTCCAGGACCAAATCAATGGGTCACTACTTTAAAGACTTATATACTGCAGCACTGGGCCATATCAGTTATAGTCTTGTCAAACTTGGATTGCTAATCTGGTTCAATCATCTAGAGAAAGCCTACAGGGATTCTCTTCTCCTTCTGAGGTACATTGAGTGTAGACAATATGACATGCTTTTTCCATGGTAGTCCCCAAAAGTATGTGTCACCTCCCCCTTGTGGACAATCCAAAACAAATTAATCAATTTATTTCAATGAGCCCCAGCTGATTAAAAACATTTCCTTCTGGTTTTGATTGAAATATTATTGTTAAAGTTTTCTTTGTCTTTTTTCCATTCCTGTTTGTTATAATACGCTACTCAGAATTTCTTGCAATTGGGGCAAGTTGCAAATACTATCAAGAATACTTGTATATTAGAACTATGTAATTCTGAAGTTGGGCAGCCTCCAAACTAGATAGATAGATGGATGGATGGACGGACAGACGGACGGACGGACAGACAGACTTAAGATTGCCCATAAAGCAACTCAGCAGCTAGTTGCTAAACACCCTAACCAATGCCTTCCACGATCATCATAACAATAAAACAAAGGAGGAAGGGATGGTTATTAGCCCACCTAACCCCCCAACCTCTGAAGTAATTTAAAAGTCCCTGCTTTTTGGCACATCTGACTTCAGCTTTGGCTTTGATACATATGACTTCAAGAGAAACAAGATTCCTTTAAAATAATCCAACTCTAATCAAAATGCTACTTCTCTAATTCTTTCCAGAATTTGGAAGGTAGCCTCTAGGGCATTGATACAGACAGGATTCAGAAAACATGATAAACCCAGGTTTGGTTTAATTGTACTTTTTGAATTTGCTAACCTAGCAGTTTAAAAGCATGCAAATGTGAATAGATAAATAGGTACCACTTCAGTGGGAAGGTAACAGCACTGTGATGTCATGCTGGCCACATGATCATGGAAAATGTCTTCAGACAGCATTGGCTCAACAGTCTTGAAATGGGTATGAGCACTGCCCCCCATGGTCAGCAATGACTAGCGAAATAAAATCCACGGGATTCCTTTACCTTTTTATTGAATGAATTCCACAACGTACCAAACCACAATTCATTATTCACAAACTACAACAGCAAGGATCAAATAGATTTTAAACCAAAGTTAAATTTAACACTATTGGATGACATGAAAAACAAACTGATCTGTTTCCCACATTATTTGACTGTTGATTTTGGCCAAAAAAAATTTTATATATTCTATTTCTTCTGAGGATCCTCTTAAACATTTTTCTGCAAATTTTAGCTTCTACACTTTTTTATGGCAAGCTAGTTCCAAGATCACTAACTTTTGTGTTCCTGTCAAATTTATATTATCCAGAAAGTACGGGGAGAGAGGGAGAGAGAGAGAGAATGCATTGGTAATGCACTTGGATAATGAAACACTTGCAAGCAAACAACCAAGCTCAGATAGCACCAAAGTCTGCAATGTACAGGAGAAAGTCTCTTCTTTCATAAGAAGAGAATACTCAGCAAAAAAGAAGATGTTGTCTTCTGTCAATTAAGCATTTTGGCATCATTTAATTATAATAGTTTCAGCAGATGGCAGCACCTAGTCTATCTTGGCTTATCAGAAAAGGTATGCTTTTTCAACACTGCTTGGTACTACAAGGCACTTGAATAGGAGATAACTTAGGAATTTTAGAGCTGATGGCTAGACTATAAAGTAAAAAAAAAAACCAGAAGAAAGCATTGCAAATTATTTCTATTATGTGGCCAGAATACTGCATGAATACAGTCTCAAGAAGTCAAGCTCAACTTGAAAGCATCTTTTATCTGTTAAAGAAACTATGTTAGCTAATTAGTGCTAATCATAGGCAATTCTTACACAATAAAGAGATAATTTAAGGACTTGTCTATTGTAAGATATGGCAGTTATCAAGATGATTCTAAAAGAGAATCTGGATTTCTAGATGTTACTGATTCCATTACCATTTTTCAAGTGGAACTAAGAACAAGGTGAACACTTTAAAAGATTGACCTAACCTCTGAATAGAGTAGAACAGGCATGTCAAACTCACGATGTCACGTGACGTCACGTGACGTATCGGGACTTTTTCCTCATTGCCAGCAATGGGGTGAGTGCGGTTTTGGCGTGATGCATCCGGCCCGCAGGCTGGCAGTTTGACATGCCTGTAATAGAATATCTTTATCGCCATTGTGTAACTCACAACAAAATTAAGAATTTATGTCTATTGAAGGCTACGAGATACAGCTGCTACACAGAATTTCACTACACTCTCAACTCTACTAATGTAGAAGAGTAACAATTTAGAACTTGACAGAAAACACTAATTTTTAACCAAGCCTATGAAGATCTCCTTGTGCACAGTTTTTTTGTGTTATTTTCAACAGAGGTTCAACAACCTCACAAGAATAACACCCCTGCTGAGACACAAAAAGGAGTAAGTTCTCATAGCACACTAACTTATTTGTCTTTGGTTTAACCAACTGAGGCTCATCAGCAAACTATGGTGAAGCATCTGCATGGTGCAATGGAGAACCCAGCCCAAGTCATCAGGTGGGAAGCAGGTGGAGCTTCTGTAGGAGCTCTCCAAGGTAGGACGAATCAAAGAAGACTTTACCTTGCAACTGTGCTGAGAGGGACTCTTGATGCTGTTGATACTTGATGGCCACGGCTTCAGCCTTCCTCAGCTGGTTCTGCAACTCATAGTACAGCATTGCCCCATAGATGAAGCCAAACACCACGGTGAGAAGCAAGAGAGACTGCAGGATCCGCTTCTGTTTTCGGGAACACATCCCGTTTCCCATAGTCCCAACCTTTGAGGTGGGATCCAAGTCGATGTCCCCCTAGGACTTCAGCAGCATCAGGCCACAACATGAACCAGGGAAGAGACCTCTCAGAGACGAGGAGGTTCTGGCACGGCTGCTGCCATAGGCCCCGGTGCGAACTTTAACCAGCTACAACCACTGCCAGGAATCCAAGGTCATAGCAAGCGAGCTTTGCAAGAGCTTTGCAGGTTCCCAGGAGACCGAGATCTGGCGTTGCCTGGAGGGACGGCAGGGTCAGTTCCCAAGAGGCCGGTTCAGCTGGGCATCCAAAAGGAAGCCCGTCCGTCCCCAGCACGGCTCGGAGATGCTGTTCAGAAGAAACGGGACGTCTTCCAGGCAGGCTTGTCCTTGCTTCACCAATTACTCTGCCGAATTTCAAGGTGAACCCCAGCGCTGCTGCAGGGGACGGTTCTCTCCCCCCCCGCCCCTCCCCGGGACTGGAGGGGCTCCTCTTCCCAGCGCCCTCTTCGCTTTGGCAGAGATGGCTTTGAAGGGAGCCCGGCGAGACTCTTCCAAGCAAGGCAAGTCTCCCCGTTGGAGACTTGCTTCAAAGCGCCTTTCCCGTTAAAGTTACTTTTTTTTTTAATTGTTGCCAAACTGCCCCCCCAAAAGGAAGCTTTTCTTCTCCGGTTCTCCGCCTCGCTTTGGACAACCATCCAGCGCCGCCACTTACGTGTCACCTCCGCTCCCGGGCTGCTTTTTTTTTTTTTCTTCTTCTTCTTTTTTTTTTTTTTTTTTTTTCTAGCGGGATCCCTGAAGGAAGTCCCGCTCCGGCCGCCGCCTCATTGGGCACAGCCTCTGGATCCTCTCCTCCTCTCGAGAAGGCAGAGCGCGCGCCCATTGGACGTTCGACGCGTCTGTCTGGCCCGCCGAGCGCCAACCCCTCCCTTCTCCTCCCACCCAACCGCTTCTGTCGGCTTTGGGAGAGGAGGGAAGAGAGGAAGAAGGGGGAGGGGTTGGTGGGGAGGGCGGGGCCGTCGCGCGCCAGGGCCGGAGGATAATGCACGGCGGGGCGGGGGGGGGAGGCAGCGAGCGTGGTCTCGTTCGGTGGTTGGTGGTCTCCTCTCCGCTTTTCACCAAAATGCGAGCGTCTGGCCGGTGGGGTGGGGGAACTGTACACGTGTTGCAAACTACGGAACACGCCGAGACTGCAGCCAAACGTTGGCTCTTGTCTACAGTCTCTTGGGGTCGTCCGAATCCTTTGCAACCCAAATACGTTCGAACTGTGGTTTCCAACGTTTTTATGGATGACGGTCCCTCCAAGTCTTGGACTTTTTTTTACTCAGTGGATTTAAAATATTTCTAAGGCTGTTTCGGATTGCACCGGCAGACACAAATGAGGGTGTGTTTTTTTAAAAAAAGGTTTTGCTGCATTGTCACAACGCCTTGCTCAGTAGTTTCGTGGTAAAAGTTTAACTTTCTGGTCTTAGGAGTTTTGTAAGACAGTTTTCATCGTCCCAGTTAATGCCCGGGAGGGGGGGTGTTCCTTATGAGATAATAAATCTGTTACTCTTTAAAGCATAATTGTAGCAATCAATCTTGGTTGATCTAAAAAAGATAAGTGTTTGAATAGTATCAGAATGGAAAAAAGCATCCAGAGCTATAAGAAAGTTGAAAAAAAAAATCCAAAAGATGACGTGGCATTGTATATTATTGTTATGAAACTTGAAATTTGATTCAAGGGGGTCTTTACCTCTAGACGGTTTTTGGTTTGAAGATGGGATGTAAAGTATGGTGAGCATAATTTACTTAACTATTCATTTTCTACGTATGCACGCCTGTTGCAATCAATGACTCGCTTTCCCTTTTGCAAGTTTACAATTACAATATCCTAACTATTGCTTTTGTAAATACTTACATTTAAAATAAAACATTTGCTGATTTGTTGGTCTTTTAATTCTTTTGCAGATTTATTTAAGTTTTCTTAGCACTTGGTTTTCCTTTTTGTTGAAGAACTTTCCAGTTACCTGTAATGTATGTCCATCCATTGCTGGCCCTGGCTGTCATGTGATCTTTGAGCAGGAGTCATGAGTTCAGAAGGGCCCCTAGATTGTGAACTGGGTCTGTTTCAAGCAGTGCAACCCTATCCAAAAATGGTAAATCACCAGATACAGGAGGCTGCAAAACCCAAATCCACTCAATCTTAAAACAACAATCTGTTGTTCTCCAAGCACTGAGAGAGGACATCAACATCTCATCCAGTATCTCTATGACAGTGGTTCTCAACCTTTTTAATGCCGCGACCCCAACCGGTCGTAAGTCGAGGACTAAACCGGTCGTTAGTCGAGGACTAAACCAGTCGTAAGTCGAGGACTACCCAACCGGTCGTAAGTCGAGGACTTTCCCTGCCTGGGAGCGCCGCGCATTCGTGGTTCCG